CCCACTGAAACTGAATTCAGATTCCTGATCAAAAGAAACTAAATTTGTTGTTTTGAGCCACTAAGTTTTGGGTAATTTGTTACAGCAGCAATAGGAAACTAATACACTAAACTAGAATTCTCTATAAGTTGAATAAACAGATGAGACATTAGAACAAGGTGTTGTCAGACATGTAAGATCTCAAAAAATCTACCATCTTTCTCAGGAAGTTATGGGAGGATAGTTCTCCACCAAAATGAGGAAGTTAAAGCAAAAGTGAGGGAAACATATGCTCCAGAAAATGGGATCCAACACAAGAGAGAGGCAAAAGTAATTTTCAGGATGGGGTGAGGGGATACCCCAGGAAGACACCTATTCAGAAAGACTAAACCAGTTCAGCTTGGAACAGAAGGACAAAAATCCCCATCACAGACATGTTGAATTTAAAAAAAAAAAAAGAAAGTTATAAATAACCTGATGTATTTGAACATACAGAGAGGAGACATATAGATTTCTTGGGAAGACCTGTTTTGGGGATGAGTAACTAACTGGAAGGTTCATAAAAAAATTCTAAGCAAATAAAAATTAAAAACGTGGCAAAACAAAATTTTTATAGCACAGCAAATGAAATAACATATTCAATACATGGTTAAATTCTAAATAATGTTTACAAAGTCATAGTAATATAATCACTGAATATTGATTTCACCATATCTTTTGGGAGGAGGGGAAGTGTGAGTTTACGGGTACATAAGAGAGCCAAATTACCACCTTTAATAATAGAAAGTCAACAGGTATTACCTAAAAAGCAGAAAAATCAAGAAATAGCAATATAAGCACATTACATAGAAACATGGCAGTAAATACTATAGGGAACAGCTAAAATTGTTTCAAGTTATTGCCCTTCAGGAGTGAGAATCAAGAATGGAGAGGGATGGAGAGGGACTGTTGTTTTTTACTGTAGTATTTTTTTAAATCTATGTACATGGTATTAACTTAATAAAATTAAAATTTTAGTTTAAAAATGAGTTGTTTCCATGAACAATACATTTTTGCGCTTAATTCTTCTGAGATGTGTTGTGTGCATGTTCTAATCTAGAAATCACAATTTTTAAAATAAATGAAAATCCTTATACATATGTAGGCACATTTGCCACTTACTCAATTCTTGAGGAACACAAATAAAAATCTTTACCATGACCTGTAGGGCTTGTCAAACTCTCTAATCTCATTGCATGCCACCAGTTCCTTTACTTATTATACTCTACACACTGACCTTTTTCATTCTCTGTCCAAACAAGCAAAGCACCTTTCATGAATACCTGCCCACAATCTATTCACATTGCTTAGAAGGCTATTCTTTTAAGTCTCCTCCTGGTTGGCTCCTTATCTTTCAAGCCTCCAATTAAATGTCACTTCTGCAGAGAAGCTTTCTCTGACCACTGAATCTAAAGTAGGTCCCCATGCCACGCCCACCCTCCTGTTGTTCTTTCCTGCATTGCTCTGGTTTTTATTGCACTTTATCAAAATCTGTAAAAACATATTTGCATACATGTTTGTGTGTTTGCACTAGACTCTAAGCTGTCTGGCACATCTGTGTGGAGCAGAGGGACCTGCACATAGCAAGTGCTCAATGAATATTTTTGAATGAACTTGTTTTTAAGTGATATATCCATGTCTCTGACATTTACAAACAATGGCATGTTATACTCTGTAGTTTTTGCATATGTTAGCAAAAATTAGATAAAGAGGGTTAAATAAAAACAAAATAATACAATTCAGACCTTTTTGAAAACTTGAGTTCTTGAAAACCATCCAAGTCTTAACACTTTTTGTCCCATCTAAGCACTAGCCCTCTATTATACAATGGATTCTCAGCAATGTCTGGAATTATCTTTTACTCAATATAGTCTCCTTTAATCAAACACTTTATCATTTTTAGTTAAGCTGATTATGATAATTTTATACAACAGGGGGTTAATCAACATTATTGATCCACACAGAAGGCATATACTCATATAACCAGGATCACATAAATGTCTTCTCCTTTTTCCAAAAATACTTGGTAATGAGATGTATAACTTAGTCTTTTAGTCACTATAATAGAACTAAATGCTTCACTTAGGTCACTTGTTTTGGACTCAATTGGATTTTACTTAGAGAAAGCATTTCACGGTTTTTATTCTTTGTGTTTGTAGCCTGGGAAGGACTGTGAAGTGAAAAGCACAAAGGTTCATTTTAATTACTTCAGTAATATTGTAGCTTTAATATGAATGGTAGTGTTATCTTTTATAAGCAATAATTTCAAAACAGACAGAATTTGTAAAAATCTTACAATTTAAGCCTGATAAAAAGAGATTGGACATGTAATGTATCTACTACAATGCTGGGCACACTAAGAGTGGTCAATAAAAATTTGTTTTTTTCCTTGCCTCTGATAACACAAGTACTGGTACAGCCAACTCTCATTCATTACAGTCCATTAAAACCTCAATTTTATACTTGTACAGTGTTTTTTTTTACCCTAAGCCTAAGACTTTGATCTGATTTATTTTAACTCATTGTTTCTGCTTCTCCATATCTTCTTTTATGTCCTGTTTTGTATCTTTCTGAATCTTGATTTTATCAGCTCTCTTGCACATTCTTGGGTAAATGAAATCCTTCATTTTACTCACTAGGATCTTGAAGAAACTAGGCAACCTAGTCTGAATTTTGTAAATATCCCTGAAATAAAAATATTGATTAATAAACTGTAGAGGATGAAAAAAATCTTTTTTGTCCCTCTACCCTTTTAGGTACACCAGCTAGGGCTTTGTAAATTAGACTGACAAAAGACAGATTAATGAGAAAAACAAAGAGAAGTTTATTAATATATGTATCACGCACACACACGGGAGTACTCAATGATGAGTGAAAGGGGTGGCTAAAACTTGAACTTATATAGCATCTTAACAAAAGAACAACAAATTTTTAGAGAAGTGACAAGACAAAGGAAAAGGACTTTGAGTTTCTTAGGTGGCAAATTGTGAGAAGGTAAATAAATGGGGGAATTAATGGACCATAAGGGCTAGTTAGTAAAGATTATTATGTAGATTCCTTTGATGCCAACTCCTGGCTGATAACGGCCTAGAGTTGTCTCTGGTGGTTAACTTCTGTACTTCCTGCTACAGAGGAAAGAAGGACATCTTTACAACTATTTTTAGGCAAATAAGGGAGGACAGAGAGTTTTTCTTGTATCCTCTTCTTAAATGCCTTCAGCTCAAAATAATCCTTACGTCAAAGTGCCATATTTGGGGTGGCATATTCTGCTACCTTTAGAATTAAACTATTTTCTTTTTGGTTCTCCGAAAATTGACTCTATATAGTATTACATTAATCCAAGATTTGACCTGTGTAGCCAAGAAATAATTACTTTGGTGTCCCTAAAAGTAAGACAATTGCCATCAATAACATATGGAGGGAAAGGAGGAAAAGAAGGGTCAAATTTTGGCAACTTGTCAAGAACACATTAGATCCACAAAGCAGAGATTACAAATAAATGTTGTATAACATGCACTTTCTCAGCTTTGATAAAAAATATTTGCTATGTGAAAGATGACATGAGAGGAGCCACATTAAAATAGAGCCCGAGCAGCCATTTCAGAGAATTGCCTTGCACATCTTGTTTTCTTTATCTTTCAAACTGAACCAAACTGCCAACATTCCAAGTCAGTAAGGACAAGAATATGCTGTTTGCAAGGACTGATGAAACTGGACCTTGCTGATGACTAAATTTCAAGCCAATCTATGAAGTACAAATCTAGCTGTACCTCATCTAGCACCAATGAACTCTTTAATACAACTTACCTCATCTTCCTCCTTTTTCCCTTAAAAGTCCTGAGCCCCTCTCATGTGATCAGGACACTATTTGGGTTTCTACCTGAATCTGTGCTCCCCAAATTGCAATTCTTTGATCCTAAATAAAAGCTTTGCTTCTTAAACTGGTTTCTGTTTTTGTAGGCTGACAACTGTAATAATAAAGAAAGGATATACAGAAACTTTTAATGATGAAAAATAAAGAAATCTAAACAATATTTAGGTAGTGGGGCTGGCCTGGTGGTGCAGCAGTTAAGTGCGCACATTCTGCTTCGGCGGCCCGGGGTTCTCTGGTTCGCATCCCAGGTGCGGACATGGCACCGCTTGGCAAGCCATGCTGTGGTAGGTGTCCCATATATAAAGCAGAGGAAGATGGGCATGGATGTTAGCTCAGGGCCAGTCTTCCTCAGCAAAAAGAGGAGGATTGGCAGCAGATGTTAGCTCAGGGCTAATCTTCCTCAAAAAAAAAAAAAAAAAGAATCATGATAGAGGTGGGCAGAGAGTAGTATTTGCACAAAATGAGCACCCCTTACAAGGGTCAGAAAAAGGCTTCCTAGAGGAAATTGCACCTCTCTTGAATCTTAAAGGATTAGTTGGTCATATTGATGGGGAGGCAGAAGAAATAGTAAGAACAGAAACAAAAAAATATAAAAAGAATATGAATAAACTAATATGACATGCATTTACTACAATTCTGAATGATTTAAAAAATAAAATAGATCCTTGGTTACATAAAATCAATATGAAAACACCCTTATCATAAGGACAATGTTACTTTATTTTCCATCTTTTCTTTAGATTCTCAGCAATAGCTCCATGTTTATTTTATTCAGGCAAGTACATATGATATTTCTTCTAAAATGCATGTCAGAAAAACTGGGTTTCATATGTCAGAAAAAATTGTGAAAGATTTTGAAAGGGCAAAAAAATAAAAGAAGAAAGGATTACTGAAGGATCACTGGGTATCTTCTGGAAGGCTAGGCATTGTCTAGCATATTGTTCCTGGTTATCTGATTTTATAGTGGTCTGCACCTTTCATTGGATTAAAAAGAGCCCTGGAAATCTCGCCTCAGTCACTGGTATGGTCTGAAAGTTATCTAAGCAACATCAGCTCAAAAGCCTGAACCCCAAAGTCTATTCTTTGAAGTGGCAATCGCGTGAAGTACCTGATATGCTCCTCTTCCATGAGGCTCTGAGACTGTTCTTCTTTGTTGAAGACACAAATTCTGGCCTGTAGTTTACAGTAGAACCTTCAGGTAAGCTTTAGAGTAAAACAAGAACATTAAGAGATTAAGGGCTATGGTTAATTTATTACTGTTGCCAAATCTATCATAATAGAGAGGACGAGAATTCTGTATTAGAACATAGTATATACAGTACATAAGTATTTCATGAGAGTATTGATAAGGACTACCCCAGAAGGTAAAACAGGATTATGGGCAGGGAGGGCACGGACAAATCAGCAGGTACTTCCCATAAAGCATACAACTTCTGAAATGTTTATATGTAATATTTTACAAAAACATGCTTAATTCAGAGAAGGCTTTAGAGAATCCCTTCTGATCGGACAATTCTTCCCACGCATCTTTACAACAGTAACACGTTAAACAAACCTAATTATTTCCATTATCTATTTTTATAAGGTGACAGAGCAAATCTTTGTGATTCCAGGGGCCCTCTGAGAAATCTTAGTGGTTTTATATATAAAAGTTTTAGTTTTAGGTATAAAATATATCCCCAAAATTTTATTTGTTCTAAATTTAGGAACTGATTTTGGGAAGGCAAATTAAGAGCTGTCAGAGATTTGTGCACTTGATTAGAAAGGATCGTGAGTGACTGAGAAACAATACTTCCTTACTTCTTTAATCAAAGTACACATAAAGCATGTGAAAAGAAACACAGAAGGTGAAAATATTGTAAATGAAGAGTTTATGTTCTATAAGTTTTTTCTGCTTAAGTAATCAAGGACATAATAAAAGCAACTTAAATCATAGGAAATTTTTCTTGTAAGACACAGAATCTCTGCTATCTAGGCATATTACACATAAGGTAAAGAATAAACTCTCATATTGTAGGTAGAAGCATTAATTGTTAAAGGAAGCAAGACCATATAAACTGAGGGAGTATTGTAAACATTTTAATATATTCCATAGCTTCTTTTCAGATTCAGGTATTATACACCAAGGCAAATAAAATTCACTTTATAAGTTTTGTCCTTTTTTACACTCTCTCATTTTCTTTTAGAGGATCTGTGAGGTCAAACTGATTTTCACAAAAATACTAAGATGTTATCTGTCTTTTTGACTCTCATCCTCTCCTGAGTATACAGAGGTGTTTTCCAGAGGGCTGTGAGATGCGTAATAATGCAATGGATTAAACACTGAAGCAGATACAAGGATCCAGCTTTCTTCTGTTAGCCCAGATAGTAAGGAGATTTGAAAAATGTGAAACAATGGTATTGTTTTCATGAAAATTTTTGTTTTGAAAAGTATAGTTTTTTAAATAAAAAATAGGTAATTTATGTTAACACGCAATGTGTTCATCATTGCTACTTTCTAATGAATCAATAAATATTTTTAAATTTTCTCACTTTTAGTCTCTAATATGGTAAATGTCAATTAGTTATAACCTGCATTATAATCCACATAAACAAAAGCTCTTTGAGGTTCTCAATAATTTCTAAGAGCACATATAAAGGGCTCTGGCTTCTTGAGAACGAGTTGGAAGAAGAGACCACGCTAACGAGTGATTTTTTTTCTCCTCCCCAACGCCCCAGTGCATGGTTGCATATCCTGGCTGTAAGTTCTTCTATGTGATCAGCCACCACAGCTCAGCAACTGACAGACGGGTGCTGTGGTTCCGCGCCCGGAAACGAACCCGGCGCCAAAGCGGTGAGAGCGCGGAACTTTAACCGCTAGGCCATCAGTAATGAGAGATTTTTTAAAAGGCGCTTTTTCTTTCATATGCCCTCAACAGACTCAAAGTAAAACCGTCGCTCAAATGTATATTGGCAAAACATGGCAGCAAATAAAGACTCCCAAACTTCTGTGTCATTAAAAACATTTGCGGTACGCAAGCAACGAAGCAAACACAACGCTTAAGATATGGTGTGAGGTTTCATAATAATATTCTTAAGCCTCACTTTTGAAAACAATAAGTTACATCTGTCAACTCCCCACCTCTTTATTGTGAGGGTCCCGGGAGCTCCTATATGCCGAGTGCTTACAACACTGGCTGGCACAGAGGCCGTCAGTCTCCGCCTACCCCACCCCCCGCGGCGACACAGACCGCGTTCCTGCCGCCCCCTGGCGGCCACAGCCGACTTCCGCCTCCCCCGCGGAGCGCGGCAGCAGCAGGCAGCGCGGCCGCCCTACGTCACATCCGGCCCTTGCGAGTCAGGGTTGCGGAACCCTCGCGATGAAGTGCGTGTTCGTTACTGTAGGGACCACCAGCTTCGACGACCTCATTGCGTGCGTATCGGCGCACGACACTCTGCAAGTGAGTGGGGTGGCGGGCGGGTGGCCGGTGGCTCGGCTCCCCGCACTTTGCTCGCCGCTCGCCGCCGCCGGCCTCGGTAACCCTGCCTGACCGCAGCGCTCGGAAAGAAACTCGGGAAGCAACTCGCGAAGCTTTACCTCAGGTGCCGCCGCCGCCACTTTGCTGGCTCCTCCCCGCGCTGACTGGGCCCTCCTCCGCCTCCTCTCCTTGCGTCCCCGCTCTGCTCCGGGCCACTCCTCCTGGTCCTTTCCCCAGCTCCTCCTTTCTCCGGCTCCTCCTTTCCCCGGTTTCCCCCCACCCCCGATTCTCCGCCTCCGTTCCTCCGTCGTCGCCCCTCCTCTCAGCGGCTCCGCCTCTCAGGCCGGGCCCGCCTCGCCGGCCGCTCCTCAGTCCCGCTCCCGCCTCGGCGCCGGCGCCTCAGCCGGTCCCGCTCTCGCACCGCCCCACCTTGCCTTGCCCTGCCCTGCCCGCCCGCGCCCCACCTGCGTCCACGCCCACCCCCTCCCCCCGCCGCCCTCTTCGTGGCCGGCGCCCCGAACGTCTGTCCGCGCCCTCCCCGCCCCCCTCGGCCCCCTCGTGGCCGGCGCCCCGCGCGTCTCCCCCCGCCCTCCCCGGCTCCCTCGTGGCCGGCGCCCCGCGCGTCTCTCCCCGCCCTCCCCGGCCCCTCGTGGCCGGCGCCCCGCGCGTCTCCCCCGCCCTCCCCGGCTCCCTCGTGGCCGGCGCCCTCGTGGCCGGCGCCCCGCGCGTCTCCCACCGCCCTCCCCGGCCCCCTCGTGGCCGGCGCCCCGCGCGTCTCTCCCCGCCCTCCCCGGCCCCCTCGTGGCCGGCGCCCCGCGCGTCTCCCCCCGCCCTCCCCGGCTCCCTCGTGGCCGGCGCCCCGCGCGTCTCCCCCCGCCCTCCCCGGCCCCCTCGTGGCCGGCGCCCCGCGCGTCTCTCCCCGCTCTCCCGGCCCCCTCGTGGCCGGCGCCCGCGCGTCTCCCCCCGCCCTCCCCGGCTCCCTCGTGGCCGGCGCCCTCGTGGCCGGCGCCCCGCGCGTCTCCCCCGCCTCCCGGCCCCTCGTGGCCGGCGCCCTCGTGGCCGGCGCCCCGAGCGTCTCCCCCGCCCTCCCCGGCCCCCTCGTGGCCGGCGCCCCGCGCGTCTCCCCCCGCCCTCCCCGGCCCCCTCGTGGCCGGCGCCCCGCGCGTCTCTCCCCGCCCTCCCCGGCCCCCTCGTGGCCGGCGCCCCGCGCGTCTCCCCCCGCCCTGCCCGGCCCCCTCGTGGCCGGCGCCCAGCCCGTCTCTCCCCGGCCCCCACGTGGCCGGCGGCGCGGCGTCTGTGGCGCTCTCCGGCTCCTCGTGCTTCGTGGTTTGCGCAGGCTGTCAGAGGCGGAACGAAGCTGTTCGCTAGGTCTCCCGCCTAGTTTTCGACGCCGCTTTTGGAGTTTTGACCTGGTCTCTTGTTTCTTGCAGGGCCAGTTCTTTCACACCTTGGTGAGCTGGGTCGCTTAATCTGTTAGGGCTAGTGAGGGATCTCGTCAGGCCCGGTACGGAGCAAAGGGTCGTTTTGGAAAACTAACTATAGTCGGCCACAGACTGTTTGGCAGCCGTGCTCAGGTCTGAACACCGACATTAGGGTTTGTTTAGGGTGGTTATTGCTGTTTTTACGGTAGTCTGTTTCAAAGGGCCACTTATTCTTTTTTCCCCGTTGCAGGTAATCAAGAGCCTTGGTTACAACCGACTGGTCCTACAAATAGGGAGAGGAAAGGTGGTACCCGAACCATTCAGTACTGAGTCATTTACTCTGGATGTTTACAGGTACAAGGATTCATTGAAAGAAGACCTTCAGAAAGCCGATCTTGTTATTAGTCATGCAGGTAAAGTGCCTGAGAATCTCACGGTTTAGTTTTTGATAGACAATAAAAACAGATGCTTAACCTTTTTAATGTAAAATAAAATCACTAGAATAACTCATTGTAGCCCTGTAGAATATAATACTTGAATATAGCAATTGAGAACATTAGCGGAGAGAATTTATTTTTTCTGGGTGGTAGAAGGATGAGAAGTTAATCACTGCAGCACGACTTCACAGTAAGAAACTCTAAACACAGAGGGGCAAAATAACCTATCCAGTTATATGAGTAAAGAGTTGTCGATTGAAATTAGTATTTGGGCTTAGATCTGCAGGACTATTCAGCTAGCTAATTGGTTGAAATGGACATGGAGAAATTGGCTTTGAAAGATTTTGTACGTTTCTTTTAAGTGTGATTGTGAAATGAATGCAGTCAAAAATATTATTTAACAGCCACATACTGTGTAAATCATTGCCTCCTTTGCAGAGAACCATCCTCATCTAATTAGAATGCCAGTATTTTCAGAAGAGCCTTTGGGAAGCATTGCAGTTTTAATTGCTGAATAAGTGAAAGAGGAAGTGTCTTGGTTCTCAAAAAAAGCCTAGTTTGAAGAGAAAACTCATTAGAAATAGATGTTACTAACAGATTGGTGCATTAGAAACGTATAGGATAATAGCTAATAGCTTTTGGTACTGTTCTATATGCTTTGTGTATGTAATTCATTGAATCCTCCCAAACAGTCTTATAAAGTAAGCACTACTAGTATCTCCATTTTACAGATGAAGAAACTGAGACTCAGAGGTTAAGTAACTTGTCTGGTGAGTAAGTGGTAGGCAGATAACAGTCTGGTGCTGGAGTCTGAGTTCTTAACTCCTCCCTTAGCATCGTCTGCCCAAAAAGGCTTTGTCTACTCACTTATCAGTTTCCTTGCTCCCACTTAAAATATCTAAATGATTTTCGATTTCAAAGTTGAATTGACCTAAATATTGTATATATGCACATTCGTGGGGAATTATTCTTTTCTGTTTTCTAGTTGGTACCTCACAGGCAGACTCTTAAGGAGTGGTCAAACTTTTTCTTTATTGGTGCCTGTCACTATTGAAGGCTTGCTTTTTCTACTTGTGTGGGAATAGAAGTGCAGTAAAGTTTCATGTACAGTATGTTGAACCTGAATCTTACTTGAATTCTAGGCCTATGCCCAGGGCATATTACTAGAGGGCAAGTGGCAAGCACTGAATCCTAAGCCATAATATTGTTGGCAGTGATAAAGAATGTATTTTTCAAGTCAGGTTTATAACACTTACTAGAGATAACTGGTAACTATGCTTTTGTCATTTTTGAAGGTATAATTAATAGGCCTGATTTGTTGTTCTGCCAACTAAGATTTTCATCCTTTGAGTTCTAGCTATAAAACTTGGTGGAGCACCTTGACTTTCTTTTAAACTGTTTTAACAAATTTGATCTATTTTTGTAGGTGCAGGAAGCTGTTTGGAGACTCTGGAAAAAAGAAAGCCACTTGTAGTGGTTATCAACGAAAAGTTGATGAACAATCATCAGCTGGAATTGGCAAAGCAGCTGCATAAAGACGGGCATCTCTTCTACTGTACCTGCAGGTATACTAGACACTGATGATTTGACCTCTTAATTCCTGCCTAGCTATTCTTACCCACCTACCTAACCCCGTCTCTCTCTTTGACCTCTTACCTTCTCCTACTTATCAGTCATACTTTGATTTTCTCACCTGTAAAACCTCATTTGTTTATCTTCACTTTGTGATCTCTTTGTAGTATTTCTTTCTGTATCTATGGCTGTTTCCTTGCATGTGAATATTTGAATGTATGTGTGCGCGTGTATGTATATATGTTCATCTGGGTGCACAAGTCTCCTGGTATAATTTTTTGGTTCATTATTTAGATTTTCATTATTCAAGGAAGACGTTTGCTTTTAATTAAGGTATTGGCTTCAGTAAACACTGGAATCCCTAAATTAAATTTATTCATTCATTAATTCAACTACACCTAATAAGTGGCAGGCATTGTTTTAGGTGCGGTGGATACATGGGTAAACAGGAGATAAAGTTCCTGCTTTCACAGTGTTCATGTTCTAGTGGTTGGGGACAGACAATAAACGATTATAAATGAGCAATTCAGATAATTTCACATGGTGAAATGTGTTATGAGGAAAATAAGGCAGGGTGATGTGATAGCTGGGGTGAAGACTGATTAGATAGAATGGCCAGGGAAGGCATGACTGGCTATATGACATGTTGAGTTGAGACCTGAATGACAAGAAAGAGCCAGTCATGTGAAGCTCTAGAGACAGAGGGAGCAGCAATTGCAAAGGCCCTAAGTTAGAAATGAGCTTGGAGTTTGGTGTGTTTGAGGAACAGAGGGAAGCTTAGTGTGGCAGGAGTATAGTGAGCAAGGGAGAGTATAGTATAAGATGAGGCTGGGCGGGGTTAGCTCATATGGGAGTTCTGATTTTATTCTATGTTTAGTGAAAAGCCATTGGAGTATTTTAAACAGGAGTAACTTTATGGTAAGGAGTGTTATTTTCTGGAAGTATATTAGAATTCAACAAGAACTGATCAACATCGCAATAGAAGGATGAAGAAAATTGCTGGTTTGTTTTCTATTAATTCTTCTTGAGACGCTAGAAACTTGCCAAAGCGTCAGGTCAGTAATTCCCAATTGTTTGACTTTACAAGCTATCCTAATTTATTGTTTTAAAAAATAAAAGCCTCATAGAAGTATTACAAAATACATATTTTTCTTATAATAATTGAAATTAATTTTAAAATAAAAAATAAACCTTAGAAGAAACTGGCTAGAACATAATAAGCTTTTCTTTTAACTTTACTGTGTCTGTCTCTTAGGCACCCAATAAATACTTGTTCATTCGTTAAATATTTGTTGAGCACCTACTCTTTGCCAGGCATTATTCTAGGCACTTGGCGTACATCAGTGAACAAAACAGATTCCTGTTCTCATTGAGAGGAGACAGCTTCATTGATTGTTTCAGGAGCAATTGTTGGTGTCCTAATCTCTATAATGATGGAGGAGAGGGACTGTCAGAGTGGCTTTGTAATATGGAAACCATTCTTAAAAGTATTGTGAGTCACAAAATGGATCAAAGACCTAAAGATTAGGCCTGAAACAATAAGTCTTCTAGAAGAGAATATAGGCAGTACACTCTTTGACATCAGTTTCAAAAGAATCTTTTCAGACACTATAACTCCTCAGTTGAGGGAAACAATAGAAAGAATAAACAAATGGGACTTCATCAGACTAAAGAGCTTCTTTAAGGCAAGGGAAAACAGGATTGAAACAAAAAAACAGCTCACTAATTGAGAAAAAATATTTACAAGCCACTTATCCGACAAAGGGTTAATCTCCATAATATACAGAGAACTCACACGGCTTAACAATAAAAAAACAACCCGATCAAAAAATGGGCAGAGGACATGAACAGACATTTCTCAAAAGAAGATATGAATATGGCCAATAGACACATGAAAAGATGTTCATCATTGCTAATCATCAGGGAAATGCAAATCAAAACTACACTAAGATATCACCTTACACCCGTTAGATTGGCAAAAACATCCAAAACCAACAGCGGCAAATGTTGGAGGGGTTGTGGAGAAAAAGGAACCCTCATACACTGTTGGTGGGAATGCAAACTGGTACAGCCACTATGGAAAACAGTATGGAGATTTCTCAAAAAGTTAAAAATAGAAATACCCTATGACCCAGCCATCCCATTACTGGGTATCTATCCTAAGAACCTGAAATCAGAAATCCCAAGAGTCCCTTACACCCCTATGTTCATCGCAGCATTATTTACAATAGCCAAGATGTGGAACCATCCTACATGCCCAGAAACTGATGATTGGATAAAGAAGATATGGTATATGTACACAATGGAATACTACTCAGCCATAAAAAAAGACAAAATTGGCCCATTCGCAGCAACGTGGATGGACCTCGAGGGTATTATGTTAAGCGAAATAAGCCAGTCAGAGAAAGACGAACTCTATATGACTCCACTCATAGGTGGAAGTTAATATATTGCCAAGGAGATCTGATTGGTGGTTACCAGGGAAAAGGGGGGGTGGGGGGAGGGCACAAAGGGGGAAGTGGTGTACCCACAACATGACTGACAATAATGTACAACTGAAATCTCACAAGGTTGTAATCTATCATAACGTTAATAAAAAAAAAAAAAAGGTTAAAAAAAAAAGAAATCCAGCAAAAAGTATTGTGAGTCAGGGGAGAAGCTAGATAATCAAAATTATGTGGGCTTCAGATAACGGGCATATCTATCAATGGGTAGTTGAGATTTTTAGTGGTTAACATCATTTTTTAAAGAGGAATAAACTCTCATCTTCCTAACTGGTTAATGCATGTCAGTTTTTCCAGATACTTTTGATGAGTATCTTCATTCTAAATGTTAAATAAGCTTTGATTTTATGTCAGTACATTAAAAAAGGGAAAACATTGATTTCGTAAACATGTCCTGACTCTTTACTCACACTGAAAAGGAAGTTGTACAAGTCTCCAATTTATGAATTTTTTACAGTTAGAAATCTCTTTTTTCTTAGATTAATTTCAAGGAAGATACTAATACCATAACAATCAGTAATTTGTTGTATTTTCATTTTTGTTATATTGTTTATTTGCACCAAATCTAGGCTGGGTGGTTGTATGTCTGTTCTAATTTAAGTGACTGGTTTAATTAAATTTCTGAAGTAATAGTTTTATGTTGTGGTTTGGAATCTTATTTCCAACATGCATGGCGATTGTACATTGCTTAATTATATATGAATTTATGGTAGTAAATTACTGGCAAGAAAAGTGATTTCACAATCTTCATGCATGGTGTGGTAGTCTCCCCAGCTTATTGTTCTTGTCTGGCAGCTGTTACTTTTGGTTTCCTTTATTCTGTTTTCATAAATTAATTTTGCTTCAATTTATATCTCCCCATTTCTGAGAAAGGTTCCAAAGCCGTGTGATCACATCTTTCATGAAATAACATTTCTGAAATATTTCAGTTGACATAAGAAAGTATCTGTTAAATTGATATTGACGTGCAGTGCTTTGTATTGCTTTAATCTTAGTATGCATATCTGTATTATGAAAATACATTAAAATTCACATGTACAGTTTGAGAAGCATCACAGTATTCTTGAAAGTTAGGTTCAGTCATCAAGTGGGCAGTAGGTGAATTATGGAATTTTTCTCCCGTGTTACCTAATATTTTTCTTCTTTTGTTTTAGCACGCTTCCTGGGCTGTTACAGTCAATGGACTTATCAACACTGAAATGTTTTCCTCCTGGCCAGCCAGAAAAATTTTCTGCATTTTTGGATAAAGTTGTTGGATTACAAAAATAAACACCAAACTCTCAACACTTTAAAAACACCCCCCAAATGCAACCAATGGAATGTGGTTAAATTAAATATATAATATATATTGGCAGAATAATATAAGTTAATAAAATTCCTACATCTATAGAATGTGTAGAAAATTTTATGATGTGAATATAAACATTTGAGTCTAAATCCTAATTGCAATTTAGTAAATTCGTTACATTTTTTTTTTTTTTTACATTGGCACCTGAGCTAGCAACTTGCCAATCTTTTCTTTTTTTTCCCTTCTGCTTTTTCTCCCGAAATCTCCCCAGTATATAGTTGCATATATTTTCTTTAGTTGTGAGTCCTTCTAGTTGTGGCATGTTGGACGCTGCCTCAACATGGCCTGATGAGTGATGCCATGTTCACACCCAGGATCTGAACTAGCGAAACCCTGGGCCGCCGAAGCGGAGTGTGTGAACTTAACCACTTGGCCACGGGGCCGGCCCTCTCATTACATTTTTTTCTTAATCTTCATATTTTAGTAAAAGAAATATGTAGTGAGCATTCACAGGTTTTATCGTAGAAACCCAAGTGAATTTGGAATCATGAAAAAAATGAATCAAATTAGAAAACTTTGACAAGAACCTCAAATGTAGTTAGTTTGATGTTCCTTAGAATAAAAAAATGAAACTAACAGACTTGTAAAAATATGAGAGTATCTTTAGCTTCATAATCCAAGGAACCAAATTAAAAAAGACAAAAAATGATGGATTGTGTTCTGTGAAATAAAAAACTCAATAATTACCTAAAAGATTTACTATCAAGTCAGATGATCTTTAGTACTTGGAGAAACTACTTTTGTTTTGAAGATTAGAGTAGAGTGGGTGTGTTCACTTTTTTTCTTTAAAATATAAATAGAAAATCTTGCCCACTGTTAAAGCTTTACTGGTTTGAGAAAAGTAAATCAAAAAGGACTTACACCCATAGGATTTATTATTTTTTAAGGACCCCCTCTCACAGTGGTATTGAAACATTTACTGTGGCATCATAAAGGAATTTATAATTTATGTACTTATAAAGTTAGTTTTACAGATGAATAAATGATATGATGTGTATATTGGCCTAAATATATGGTTTTAAAATTCACATAGCTCGAGATATGTTATGAATTTCTGATTAGAGTAAGTGGTCTCAAGACCTATAAAATAAACTAGGTTATCCCTAAGTGTTCATAGTTTTCTGCTAGTAGGTTTAGATATACTTCATCCATAAAAATAGAGCGTTCGCTATAAAGACCTACTTTCCGTTATACTATCCCAAAATGTTGAATATTCTAAACATTTTACTTGGGATGCATTATATGATGTTTTTGTAGATTTATTTTCCTGATTATGTTTTACTTAGGCTAATATTAAAATAAATTCTTACTAATAGTAGAAGGTGGTGGCTGAGAAGTACTCTGGGTAACAGAAGGAAGCCAACTTGGATTAAAATTTTGCTGAGAATAATCTGAAAAGTGAGTAACCTACATCTACATAGTTGAGAATAAACAGCACCATAATCATAAGTGTATATTATTATACAAATGTATGAAAGGCCCTTTTCAAATCCACGGAGAGAAGTTGTCTTTTCTGGGCTCTCTTTTAAATGTGTTTCTGTAATTTGCGAAAAATTGTGGCTTAAAATTTATGTTGATCACTAAGTCGTTAGTTGTCATGAAAGACTAACATAGAGAATGAGGAACAAATGAAAAGGCCTGCTCAAACATCACACAGCTAAAAAGCAGTATAGGACCCCAAATCTGCTTTGTCCTCTCCCAAAAGAATACATAACCCAGATTCATTTGTCAGAGGCTTAAAGCACTGGTGTCAGTTGTGTTTAGTGACATCTCTTAACTCCACCTTGTAAAGTTTTATATTAGTTGTGGGGTTTAAAAATCAAAGGATATCTTAGAATCATTTTGATTTGGCAGCAATCCTCATCATTATCTTGAACAATCCCATCATTTCTCAGATTAGGAAGAAGGACAGAGGGTATGACTTGTCTAAATCAACGGCCTTTGCCAGAGCTGCCACTAGAAGCAGTTACTTGACTCCCAGTCCTCTGCTCTTTCTACTATCGTAATATATGTTGTAAGCTTTTATTTCTTAATGCTTGTTTGCCTAGTATTTGTGTAGTTACTTTAATCCCATCCAGTGAAAGTTTTGTTCATTTCCCGAATTTGTTTAATTTATTTTAGAATTATTTCACACTTCACTTAATCGGATTTTCCTTTGGTGTATGACACCCTTACCTGGGACTTAGAAACCTGTGATTCCTGAAATTTTGGATTCTAGCAAAATGCCATTGGTAGCATTGATACTAGATTGAACAGATGAAGACTTTAAGACAAAGAATTGTAGATTTTTGGAGTTGGAAGAGAATTTTAAAAATACCTAATGCAAACCACACATTTTACAGATGAGGAAAGAGGTTAAGATAAGTTAATTGCCAAGTTTATATCTTATGGGTCCTTATGACAAAATGAATGGTAATCAAGATTCTATACAGTAAAATTTGTTTGGTTTCATTACATGATAGGGCTTAAGGTTCTTGAAATCAGTGAGTAAGTGGAATGCAGTTTATCTAGCAGTTTCCTGTTGGAGCTATTTCGATTTCCAGGGATAAAGAAGCAAAACAGAAAGTTCAGTATTAAGAAATTCACGTGGAAAGGGTTCAGAGGTGCACGGGTGAATAGTAGAAAGTTGATGAAGTGGGAGTAGATGAAAAGTGATGTTAGGTTATAGAATGACCCTGGAAAGTAAAGATTTTAGGTGACTGTGCTTATAATTTGGAAAGAAAGAAAGAAACAGCTGGAAAATTTTGGTTTTAGGTAAGCTAGTATAACCAAGGAACTTGATGTAAGGTTCTGGAACATTTAGAAGTAGTCATTATCTGAGCCAGCCCTGATAGTCTAGAGGTTAAAGTTCAGTGCTGTCACTGCTTTGGTGGCCCAGGTTCGTTTCCTGCTTATGGAACCACATCATCCATCTTTCAGTTGCCATGCTGTGGTGGCGGCTCACATGGAAGAACTAGAAGGACTTAGAACTAGGCTATGAAACCATGCACTGGGGCTTTGGGGAGGGGAAAAAAAGGAAGCTTGGCAAGAGATGTTAGCTTAGGGTGAACCCTTCCCTGCAAAAAAGTCATCTGAAAGTACTACTGAGTGATTTTAGACGCCCTAGAGCACTGTTTATGCTTTTGAAGACAAATCATGTAGACAGGACAGTTTAAAAATGTGTACCACTTTGATAGTTTGAGAAGAGTTTTCCAAGACTAAAAATAGTTAAGGATTGACTAGTAGTAATGTAGATATTTTTCTTGGCCTTTTACAGTCATGTGTTGCTTAATCACTGGGATATCATTCTCAGAAATGCCTCATTAGGTGATTTCATTGTGTGAACCTCATAGAGTGTACTTAAACAAACCTAGATGGTATAGCCTACTACGTACCTAGGCTATATGGTGCTGACCTTATGGGATTGCCATTGCAATGTGGTCCACTGTTGACTAATGTTTTTATGTGGTGCATGACTGTATTATGGTATAAGCGCTTAATCTCTCTGATTTGTTCAAAATATAAAATTTTCAGAGACGACCAAAAATCTGCATACAGTCTGAGAAATGAGCTGTATGGGCAGATTATTTGAAAGTGACTTTGGGGAGAGATTTCGAATGGGTTGTCCTGATAGCTATGTGGTAATCAGTTTTCTGCTGTACAATTAGTACCATGTTTTTATGGGGGAATGGGGAATGAAACATAATGATTAGTTGACACCTGTTGTGCGCTTAGTATCTATCAGGTACTACTCAAAGCTCTTTACACGTGTGAACTCACTTAATCTTTACAATAACCCTATGAAATAGTTAACGTTTGTCTCATTTTGCAAGTGAGAAAACTGAGCTTAGAGCATAATATGAAAAAGGAGTTTTATGCTACTTAAGTGTCCAAAAGATACTCTTGGAATTGCAATTGGAAGGCTGAATTCCAGTATATTTCTGTCATTTCTGGGGACAAGAGGACAGAATATTTGTCATCAGAAGACTACTCCAAGAAATTTAGATTGAATGATAGCCTCAGGTATATGACCTATTTCAGTTTTTACATTGCTATTTAAAGGATACTGTTGGTTACTCATAAAATCCATATGGAGAAACTCCCAATTGCTTTACTTGGTTCCAAGTTATTTACTGGCTCTTTTGTTTTCTCATTAAATATTTGTAATGATCAATACAAATATCTGTTTTCAGTCCTCTTCTCTATGTATTTTTTCTTGGTACTTTTATCACGCCCAGAGCTTCTCTTACTGACTGCTGTGTCTATATTCCTCAACTCTGATTTGAGCTTCTGAATGGTATTTCCAGTTGCCTGTCAGTCATGTCTGTCTGTTAATTCTCTAAGCACCTTAAACTCGATGTGCCCCACACTAAAATCATGTTTCTCCTTTTCACCCTGCTGGTATCCTTACCTCTATTAATGGTGTCATCATTTAGTCAGTCTCCAGGCTTAAACTCATTTCTCTAACCTTTAATATCTGGTTAGTCACAAGTACTCTCAGCTTTACTTCCTAAATATCTCAAGCCCATTTATTTATTTGGTTATTTAGTCTTTTAACATAGATGCATAAGAATCTATTTTTTGTGTCAGCAGAACTCAAGACATTATTCCTGTTCTGGAGGAACTTACAGTCTAGTTGAGAAGGACCTATATGTCTTATTCATTCTTGAGTCCCCAGCCTGAAACACAGTAGGCTTTCCATAAATCATACACTTCTGTAACTTAGTATTCTTTTTTCATTATCTTGATTAGGATTAGGTATTCGTTCTAGGAAACACTATCATCTTGCACGCATTCATTTCATACTGTCTTTGACTTGACTCCAAAGTATCTAGTATGTCTCTTGTTCAGAAGAAAGATTTGGCCATTACATTATATGGTGATGACATCTAAACCATAGCAGTGCTGATTCTGTGTAATATCCTAATGATATTTAAGGGTGTGTCAAATAATGGTATTTATTGGGGATTTTTGGGAAAACATATTAAAAATCAGAGATTTATTAAAAGCAGTAGCTGTAGTGTTTTCCAGCAGAAGATTACATGGAGAGAGGTTTAGAATAACTGCCAAACAGCACTCAAGTCCTTGTTAAATGATTAATTCCTTACAT